GGCGGCCGGCGGAGAGCGCCGAGCCCCAGCGGAGCGCGGTCCTGCGTGGTCCGTGGCCGTGTTTGTGCTCTCTGTAGACAGCGGGGCGGTTTGACTGCTGCTGCTGCTTGCTGCTGCCCGGTTACAAAGAAGAGCGCCTTCTAAGTGAAGGAAGGGGTGCAGCTGCTGAGGGGACCGGGGGTGGGCCCGTTCTGTGCGTCCCGCCCTGAAAACCACGAGAGCTGAGGCTCTAGTGCAAGAGGAAACCTAAAGCCAGCCATCGAAAGATGTCAGAGCGTGGGCGTCGCCCTGTAGTAGGCAGGCAGGTAGCAGTAAACAAATTGACTCTTCGTGATAATTCAGAGCACTCTGCATATGTTTTTAAGTTAATGCCTGTGCATATGCTTGCTGCACTCCTGAGGAAAAATAGCTTTCTAGGTTTCTGCCTGTGTTCCGGGGAGCCTGGGTGCTCCTATAGCATGCCCTCACATCATTCTCTACAGATGCTATGCTTATGCTGCACAGCTATGTGTAATTCACTAAAGGCAGCTTCCCTGAAGGTGTCTAAGTGCACATGCTATAATATTTTACAACCCTGTTTCCTCTCTCTGCACAGCCTTGTTTATCTGCTTGCTGTACTCCGTATGTTTTGTATGACCACATCAACTAGAGCACCCCCAGGCTGTGGAGACTTTCTGTTTGATATTCTTCAGCATACAAGGAGAAGCAGAAAGCCTGAGGCAGTGCAGTCACTTAAGCCAGTACCCTTCCTAAAAGGAAGGGAGGGAAGGGGCGCGCACCTTCCCTTCAGAAACGTGTAATGTCTTCTGGAGTTATTTTGCCTTCAGAGCAGTTCCCTTGAACTGTTTTGCTGTGCAACTTCATGAACAACTGGCAGTGAGTTAAAGCAGGTCTGCTCAAACAAGTGTTTGGGAAGCTGATGTGCGCACCGTTTCGTCAGCAGTGTGTTTTTCCTCTGGGTTGATCTGACAGTGTAACACTTCCAGGCTTTCCACATCTTGCTTTCAGTTTTTAGTCTTCTCACTGTTGGGGTTCGTGGTGACTTTGAGGGGTGTACAAAAGGCTTCTAGTGTACAGGAAGCAGTAAAAACCAGTAAAAACCACTTGTTTTATCAGAAATACTCGCAGTCTTTTTCTCAGTACTTGAATTTATGCTGGCATGCCTTTCACAGTGAAAGACCTCTGCTGAAATCTTTAAGACCGATCTCCATATTTAGAACTTAATAATATGGTAGTTGTAGTGCCAGTAAGAGGGCAGGGGAGGTGGGACATCACTATTGAACTCAGCAGGAGCACAGTATAAGAGGGTTTTAAAGTTAGTAATGAATTGACATAGTTGTATCTAAAACCGCATTGTGGTAGCCTCTATGTTTCCCAGTTTTTCTTCAGAGGAACTGTAGGAATACTGACCATAACACTTCAGAGGTGAAGTTGCACTGATTTTGCCTTGAGCAGGGAGGGCTGGCTCTTCAGTGCTCTGCAGTTGCAACTCTGCATATTATCTGGGAAAAATTGTGTATTTTAAAAAAACATTAAAAGGCAGACTAAGAAAAAAATATCTGGCAAAGGGCTAATGTTTTATTCACTCTTCCCACGCTTCTCTTCTGTCCTCAGAGTGAAAGTAAGGGAAGGGTTATTAGAATTTTGCTTTACAAACTGAAATTTGAGATACTCAAAAGTAATACCGCATAAATGTGTTCATTCACAGTCAGTTAATTCTCCCTTACTGTCCTTTTTTATGTAACTAGAGAACAGGAGAGTGCATATGAAAAATACTAATACTAGAATTCTGTGTGAAAATACTACTTTTGAAAATTCTGTTTTCTGTTTAATTTACTGACATATGTTTGACACTGTGTACTAGCTGTCTAGATGATCGCAAAAAACCTAACCCCTCAGCATCAGCAGAATGAAAGAACTCTGAATGAAGTAGGCGAAACTTCCCCACAGGAAGAAGAAATTGATGGTGAAACTTTTTCATGAAAGTGTTCAAACTTTGCTTTTTATTCTGTTGATTTCTTCTGTGTTATATTAATTGATGGAACTCACTGTTAAAATCAGACACACTTGACCATGAGATGCGGGATGTAACAATCATTAAGGAGGGAGGGAAATAAGTAGAATGAAAACAGCTTATTTCAGGAAAACGGGCTTCAATAAATTCAGAAAATGGATAGGAGAGAGCCTGTGAATGTCTAAACAGAATAAGTGAAAAGATGTGTAGGACAGTTCATACCTGTACCTTCTCCAACTGTTGAAAGCACAAGTACAAATTACCCTAATGTGGATGAAGTCTGAGAAGTATAGCAATAAATAAACCTGGCTAAATCATGAGTTTTTAGTGACCTCAAAAGAAAAAACCCTCCATGAATCAGCTTAACTGGCATGGGTGCTGGAAGAATAGGAGAACAAGTAATAACTTGTAAGTATATTCACAAGATAGTGAGTGAAAACCGACGTGAAATTGTTGGTTTGACAAGAGAGGTTCTTATCAAAATTGTTTTCTCAGTGGACAATACTTCGATGTTTTTTAGACCTTTTTGTTGCAAAATTTAAGACTGTGGGTTATGAATTTGCTGTGTGGGTACGTAGCAGGTTGGAAACTGTTCTTGGAATAGTCAGAAATGTTACCTGTCAGCCGGAGGGAAGTATCCAGAGGGATCCGCCAGCTGTCTGTTGAAGTCTAGAACTACTCAGAGTTTTTATTAGTGATTTGGATGAAGAACAAGAAAGTATTTTTATTAAATTTGCAGGTCAAACTGTACAGAAGGAAACTGGGAGTAGCTGTGAGCATCTTATGGTGGGTCAACTGTCATATAATTCAACGGGGGGATCAGCTGAGATCAAGCCTTGCTTATTTCTAAACAAAGAGCATACAATGTAGTGGTTAAAGGGTTCTGAAAACATGGATCTACACAACTGAGAAATCTTCTGTAGTGCAGTATGTATCGTATTAGTAGTTACAGATTTCATTTCTGTGTTCTCTTAATTTGGATACTCATTTTCTCCCTCCATTTCCACCTTAAAGACTTCCTCATGAGTATTTGTTGTTATTATTTTAAGATATAGTCTTCCCTGAACCTAGCCAGCCTCTTGCGGCAGTCCCTTGTAACTTTGGGTTCCTTCGATGTAGGAGATTCTATATCCGTTCAATTTCCCCACCACTGGTGACTCATTTCTGCTGTAATTTGTGCTTTTACTTCTGTGGATGGCTATCCGTGTGGTGTCAGCAGACCAAAGACACTAGGTTTGGTCTATTCCAGAGCAGGGAAGTGTGGCAGTCCTCCCTCAGGTTTGTATTGCCTTTGTGGCTGAGGATAAGTCAGTTCATTCTATCACTACCAATCCACTCGCTAGGGAAGTGATCACAGGTGGTTACACCCACTGCCTTGGGTGGTGGTAACTAACTTGCTCTCACCTTATAACACTTTTGAAGAGCATCCTGTGCTAGTCACACTTGTGTACAACAGGGTCACACCAGGACTTGGGCACTTTTAGAACTTGTGAAGAAGTTTAAAGATATGGGATGGGGAAGGAAACTTGTTTTAGCTTGTAGAAAATAAAATGTGCACATGCAGAAGATTTCTGAAGCTCAGTTTTTAAAGATGTTAGGAATTTAAAAGTGTGGAGGATAACCATATTGAAGCAATGCTCTTTTTTTAAGTGTTGGAGAGTGTTATTTGTTGTACATTAGGAAAATCTGCAGCATAGGTAGTTCATATCTTATTCTGCGTCCTAGCCATGTAGAGATCAGTGCAGGGTGGGAACAGCACTGGAAAGAAAATGAATTGTAGGGGCAACGTTGTAGAGACAGTCAGCTGTTGTGTACAGGTTCCACTGCAAGGTCACTGCAGTGTGTCTGTGCCGTGCTTTGCTGCCCTCCGGCTTTGGGGAGGACTGATTAGCTCTAGCGCAGTGCCAGGCCTAATGTGCTTTATTGCTTTGTGTGGCACTTGAGCAAAGAAGCTCTTGCAGAAAGAGAGTGCAGAACAGACAGGTACTGCTTTCCCTTTCATGTGCTAGACATGGTAGGCCTGTCAGGACCCAGACCTGGGGCTGGGCTTTGTTTCAGACCAGCTGGGAGGTCCCGCCTTCAGCTAGAGCTGAGGATGGATGGCATAGGTAGTATCTACACCTTCTTGTGCTTCAAGCAAAAGCTGGCTGACAGCTTTCTTTTGGCCTGCCCTGCCTGGTCCTTGACAAGGGTTTAGAATAGAAATACATGGAGCTTATGGTGCAAAGAATTCATGTTTAGTTTCTTTCAGTTGTGAATTGCTCTCCTTTACACTCAGTCCAGAGTCCGGGATGCTCTTGGACCCTGAGGCCTTGCTTACATTAGTAAGGAGCAGTAGGAGCAGATCAGTGGATCCGAGTGGTTGATGTTGAGTTTCCTCACACCTCCATCACATGTGATTCAGAGAGTTTACTTCAGATTAAATTTAGTCTGTTTCCCAGGACTGAATGTCTACAATACATGTAGTTTGAAGTTCTCAGAACGGTAAAAAAGTGTTAGGTAAATGCTGCAGGTGTGGCCTTCACATTGCATTGGCATCTAACATCCTATTAATTTTTGAAACGTTTTATAAGTAAGGATTCCTTCTTCAAAAAAGCAAGCTGTGCACACAAACTGCTTTGAGGTCCAAATCAGCACGTGGTAAATAGAGGCAGCACAGGATTCACTACAAAACTACACTTGCTTTGAATCACATCACTACTGTAGACACAGTCTCACAGATATCCTAAAATCTGGGATGGTCCAGGTCAAACTCAAGATGTAGCAGCTGTACCCTGAGGCCCCTATTACATGTTTGTAGTCACAGGAAAGTTGTCTTGCATTCCTGATTTTGACTGGCTGTGAATAATTAGGTTATTAGAAGAGCTAGCAACTTGAATGGATTTCATTGTGGTGCCAATGTGGAGATTTAAACAGTGGTATCAGCTGTCAGTGACATGCAAAGGTGCTGATTTTAACAGGTGTTTTGCCTTATTTTAAAAAGGTCTAATGTGTAATGGCAAAAAGGTATGAGCTTGCAAGGGTATCATAGTTCCCCTGGGTGAATATAGAAAGGATTGGCAGTTTGGAGAGGAAGGGAAGGAAAATGTAAAACTGAGCTGTTTGAGTCTGGTTGTGTTAATTCTCTTGAAAGAGAGAAAATAAGCGTTGAAAGTCCCTGGACTGTAAGAATAAGAAGTTAGATTCAGTAAAGAAAGTAATTGCTAGAAATAGAAAAGGAGTTAAGAAGAATTTAAGTGTCAAGACAGAGGGGAAAGACCCTAAAAAAGGAACCGTTCTGCCTGCAGGAATATAAAAGAATTTAGAATTAGAGTAGTTACTTTTCTGAAAACATGGACCTTCAGACACAGTGGGACCGAAGGTACATTGTGTAATGTTTATCACGGACTTTTATTTTCAAGTGGGAAGAAACTGTCACCTCCAAAGTCAAGTCAAACCTTCAACACTACGGTGAGGTAGGCTCATTTGGAAGAAGACATGATTCTGTATTTAATGACATTCTGCAAGTAGTATTTTTTTACAAGATTACCTTAAAGTGATGACAGTGATTAAATAGTACAACTGCACCATGCTTGTGATGAGAGGTCCGGCATAACTCACTATGAGATAACTCTTCAGTTGCCAGTCCTGAAACTGGATGTGATAGAAGATGGTAATAGACAGTTGAGTAGTGGTGATTGATGACCCATTTCAGTATCTCAGACAAGTATTTCACTAAACAGACTATATTTATCAATGTAATGCATTTATTTTTCTTACTGTATAACATGCTGTCAGGGCATTGCCATAGCTTTGCTACATGATGAATTGTTCTTGCTGCAGACCATGGGGTGATACTTAAAATGTTCATTTTTTTTAAATT